CCCTCTAAGTACTTGGGCCTGCCCCTTGAGGCCAAGAGCACTTCAAAAGCCTTGCAAACTCCAATTTTAGAGAAGATTGATTTGAAGTTAGTTTCCTAGAAGGCCATGTATCTGTCTAAGGATGGGAAGGTAACTCTAATTAAAAGTGTGCTAGCAAGCCTCCCAGCTTATTACATGTCTATTCTAATCCCATCTGAGGTAGCTGATGAGAGACTATCTGTGGAGTGGTTGGAAGGACTCTGCCGGTAATCATTTGGTGAGCTAGGATCAGGTCTGCAAACCTGTGCCTTTTGGAGGACTGGGGTTAAGGAAGGTCGAACTGTTTAACAAAGCTCTCTTGGCCAGTTCTTTAGAGATTCGCAATGGAGCCAAACAATTTGTGGAGGAAGGTTATTGCTGAGAAATATGGCTTGTGTAGCAATGGTTGGGGTGCAGAAATGTCCCTTTCTTCCTACGGCTGCAGCTTGTGGAAGGGCAAATGAAAAGCTTTCAGTAGTTTTAGTGAGGGGCTGCTTTTCAAAGTCGGGGATGGGAGAAAGGTGAGATTCTGGTTGGACTCTTGGTGTGGTGATTTTGCTTTAAAAGACAGATTTCGCTCTTTGTTTAACAATGGCGGATAACAAACTGGCTTGGGTGGCAGACTGCTATGAGGTGAATGGTAGATCAATTTGCTGGAGCCCTTCCTTTAGTAGGAATTTGAATGATTGGGAGATTAACCAAATTTTTTATCTGTAAGCTCTACTGCAGAATCAACATATGGATGTGCAGATTTAGGACTCTAGACTTTGGAAGTGGACTTCTACAAGGGTTTTCACAGTCAAGTCTTTTTACAAGGGTCTAGTTGGAGCTTCAAGGAACCCTTTTCCCAGCAAGGCCATTTGGGGTTCAGCTGCACCTTCTAAGGTGAAATTCTTCACTTGGGTGGCTGTTCTAGAGAAGTGTTTGACTAAGGAAATGCTCTTGAGGAAGGGGTACCCTATCCAAGACAGATTATGTGTGTTTTGCAGCAGGGAGGATGACTCAGTAAGCATTTGTTCTTGCATGGAAGCTTCAGCTCAACTGTGTGGAGTCACTTTTCAAGGGCTCTTAATTTGCATTGGTGCTTTCCCTTCTCAGTCAAGGACCTTTTGCAAGAATGGGGCATGCAGGACCTGTCAAGGAAAGGGAGAGTTTGTTGGTCAGCAGTTCCTCTAGCAGTCTTGTGGGTCATCTGGTCAAAAAGAAACTTGAGGATTTCCAAACAGAAAGCATCACCAGAATCTGTGGTGATTAATAGGGCTGTGGAGAACTTGAGGAGTTGGTTATCCATACATACTGTATTTAAAAATGATACTTTCTCTTCTTTTTTTGGATGTAGATTTTTTTGGGGGGCTTAAAGTTTCTTTTTGGTACATAATCTCATGTACCTCTTAATACTAATGAAACTATACTTTACCTGTTCAAAAAAGATAATGTGCTAATAATACACATTAATTTGGTGATATGAGTATCAAAGAAACCCACTGATAAGTAAAAAAGAAAAAAAAAAAAGAAAAATAATCGCATTCCTCCGACCATAAAATTTTTCCTATTGTGCTTTTACGATTAAATTATAGAACATATTGGCAAACGTTAAATTTTTGTCATTTCATTTCTAGGATATCCTTGTGCTTTTACTGATTAGTTGCAGGTTGGATCATATAAAATTTTTCCAGAATTTGTTAAAATCAATTTTTTAACAACATTGTGAGGAATGGTAACCCGTAGTTTTCTGTGACAAGTACACATACATAATCTAGTTAAACAGCACCATCACTAACTCATTAAATATCAATATTAACAACTTGAGTGAATCACAAGTCACCTATTTTGTTTGCGTGTTACAGATGATCCTAAAACTAAATTTCTTGTGAAAAGAACGACAATAAATTAAAAATAATAATAATAATCAACTTGGGAAAAAATAAAGGTGATTCTGAGCTACAGAGGATTTCAACATAGCAATATAGTTGTAAAATAAACTACGTAGTATAAAATCAAAGGACAGCTCATAATCCGAAACCTGGGTTTAACAAAGCTCTCACCTGTGAATAAGAACACGATTGGGTGGCCGAGCAAACAGGTAACATTGTCAAATCAGCTAAACCAATCCAAGACCTCACCAGTCACCACATTGTCAACATCCACTAAGAAACGACTCAGTGAATACAAAATTCAATCAAACAGCATCTTAAAATCAACTTTTAAGTGGAAAAACACGAACCCGTATTTGAAATTTAGGAAGAAAACGGTCGAATTCTACGGGAACTCAGAATAAACGAAGACACCCAAAACAATTCACGCCATTTCAAGCTATTTTCCAGCTGGGTTTCTGAAATTCAAACTCCTGTAATAGGAAAATCACCATCTTGATAGGAAACTTGGGATTCTATCCCTCCAAAACCAGGTTCAAAGCTGGCTCCAACTCGCAGAACACAGAAATCTGGAACTGGTGTTAGATATAATCATATAAAATCAAATAAGACTGCGCAAGTGAGAGAGAGAGAGAGAGAGAGAGAGAGAGAGGATATGATTCGGAGAATCGTGTGGCTTGTCGAAGCCGTTCGCGAATTGCGAGATCTCCTTGGCCCGTCCTCTTTGCCTCTCGTTTTTCTGCCGGGATAATTTTTGTATTATCTAATTTCTATCCATCTTTCTTTCAGAAAAATTCCGACTGCAATGAAACCCAATTACATATGGACACGCGTCCGAACTTGCTACATTTAATGGCTGTATTAATATCTATACCAATAATAACGCCCTACGTCAAGTATATATCCCCACAGAATCAGAATCTTCATTTCCTCGCACCCGCACATTGAAACCATCTTGCCATGAATGACAACATACAAATACAGCAAGATATTCGGGATGTGTGGCTGCAATTTTCGTCGTAAAATTAAGGTTTTGTGTTTTTCCGGGCCTTAAATAAGGACGCAAGAACGAGAAAAATTTTTGCCCTGAACTGGAAACGGGGCAAGGATGGAATTTACATATAATTCTCGGAACCTGCCCCAAATTCTATGATAAATTTGTAAAATATCGTTAGATTAATATTGATTTTTAAAATATTTTAAGTTTTTTAATTCATAAAATCATAGCATCTTATAATTTTATTTATAAAGTACTTTCAAAATGTTATAACCTAATTCTTAAAATATTTTTAAATTCTCATAATCTTGTTTTTAAATTATCAATAAATTAGATTAAGAAAAAAATTCGAAGATTCTCCATCTCCAATAAGGAATGAATGTCTTGCCCTGAATCTGTCCCACCACCAAAAATGGAAAACAAGTAGAATGTCTTGATAATGGGCGAGGATGGAGAGGGGGAGCGGGGAGCCCTGTTCCAAACCCACCCCGCCCCATTGCCATTTCTACGTTGGACGTTATTGTTGGTTAAACAGCTGAAAGATCAGCCATCAAGTGTAGTTAATGCCCCAAATTCTATGATAGACCGGTGTTATCTTATCACATTCTCGTTATATGGACATTCCCTTTGTTTTATTTTCTTGTCTGTTATATATACCACTGACCAAAAAGGAGACCGGATCTCCTCCTCACACATGGTGCATCACACTGATTTCACAGGTACATCACCGTGCATTGGGAACATCTTTATGTTATTATTTATGGGAGATGTTCCTAATGCACGGTGGAATGTGCCTGTAAAGTTGTTGTGAGACGCCCTTTGTGAGGAACAAATTCCAATTCTGACCAAAGTAAATAGAGATAAAGTGTTTTGGGGTTTTAACTGTTCAGTCCACCCCTAGAAATCTTAACTCCAAGGAATGAATCTGACTATGGATTAATACCAAATCCATGGGAGGGACGGTGGCTGTAATTTCAGATTTCTGAGGGGCTACTTATCCCAAGTGTTGTTGATATAATGGATTGTAAAGAAAATTTTTATTATTAAGGAAGTAAGACTTTGTATGGATCGTAAAGAAAATTCAATTGTTTTGTCCGAGTCTAGACTGTCAAGTGAGTTCATTGATTTGAGAGATAACTGCAATGATACATTTAAGGGAGAGCTAGATACTCTTATATCAACATCCCACCAATGTGACAGCCAATCATCAAGGTTCCATGATGGGTGATCAATCAACACGAATGGCCACACATGATTCAAACAATGCCCTCTTATTTAATACCTTTCGTGGGTGTTTGGCATCGATGCCATTTTTTTAGGAAATGGTGTCATGTAGGTGTCACATCGGATAAATCGGTGTTTCAAACAATGCCCTTTTATTTAGTACTTTTTTTTTCTAGAAAAAACGTTGCTCCAGACCACGTCTTGGAAATCAAGAAAGTGTGGTCTGGATCAATGCCAAAGTTAGTGTTTTTTGAGAAAATGGTGCATTGCTGCTAGTGGTGCAATGATGTGGCATCATCATCTTAGACGTTGGATAATATAGGTCATGTTGAAAATGTTACTGCCAGCACTAGTATCAAACAAAACCAGTGTTGTTTTCTCAAAAAACAACATATGTGACAGCATTAGTTCCAAACAAAAAATAAGCACTGACACATGCCCAGCACCGTTTTTCTCAAAAAATAGTGTGATGTTCCCAGCACCAATGCCAAACAGCTATTTCATTATTTCACAACGAAGGAAGATATGATCCAAATCTTCAATCTCATCACAACACCTTCAGATGTAATCTATCTTTTTATTGAACCTCGCCAAAGCTTGTAAGGAACGAAGCGCTCTAGTAATAAACCTCCAAATGAGTCTGGATCTCCTGCACATTGATCCCTGTATATCTTCCTGTACATCAAATCAGAGGATGCCATGTCAGTACCATAACATGGACAAATATTGTATATGCGAGTGGAATTAACAGTTCCAAACGTCCTCCCATTCAATTTTTTCCTTATTAACTTTACATTAAAATTTTCTCTTCCGCTTTTGCTAAAAGCTTTTCTCAATGAATGGGCATGAGACAAACTAATAAAAAACCGTATGTCTAACATTGCATTTCATTGATCTAGAACATAATGCTTGAGACAAAATATACACCAATAAAAAAAGAAGATAAGGGTTTCTTCTTCTACTTTCATTCAAAGCTTTCTGCAAGGAATTGAACATATCTGAAATGAACCAACAGAAAACTGCATGCCTAAGCACTGTGTGCCACTGAGTCACTGACGAAAGCATGAAGCAAAAAATGTTGTGCTTAATACTTGTTTGAAGGGTGAGGCCCGTTATGGCTACTATAGACAGAACCTTGTGTGTCAATGTATCTTCAAAATCAATGATCCTTTCGAAAACCTAGTTGTGTGTGCCTTCAACCCAACCTTCCTTGTCTTTTAGTGAACACATAAATTGATGTTGTTGAAATCAAGTAGCAACCCTTCGATTGAATGCACCTATAGAGAAAAACTGAATCTACAATTCCAAATGTGTGCTAAAACTTTCAAGGGCTACCAATCCCATGGAGACTTCTTGTCCTTCTGCAATGAGTCCTTGTTCTTGTAAGACAAATCTTCCTTGAGGAACCTAGGTTTTGGCTTTATGTCAGGGACATGGGTTTTTCCAAAATATTTGGGCTTACCATTGGAGTTCGAAATCAAACCCTTTAAAGATTTTTTGTAGAGATAAAGGGACCTGCTCTGCACCTCAAGTTCCTGTTACCATGATCCCCACCATTTTTTCTTCCTAGATTTAACTTTTGACATCATAAACAACTTTCAAACCTTAAACAATATTCGACAGTGTAAAAGTGTTCAACAATAATTGATTTACACTCGCTGAAACTCCCAATTTTTTGAATTGATTCGGATATATTACAAAACCTAAATTACTCCTCCCCTTTCATAATTTCCACATCTTGAAGACAAATAAAGGGAGCAAAATTTAAAAAAAAAAAAAGTAGAGAAATCCTCAATCGAAAGTCAAAGCCATACAGTAATATTTTCAGTGTGATTTAGCTGGTCTTTCCCTATCGGTGGTGTTAAATATACTCAAGAACAAAGCCTTTAAACCTTTATCTCCTATTTTTATTTGATTTAAAATTTAACATAAATTTTATTATATATTAAAAATAAGATGAAAGGACGTTTTGAAACATCCGTTATTGTCACTTCTGCACGCAAGTTTTGCCCATATTACAGTGCTGATATGGCACCCTCTCATTTGATGTACAAGAAGATCTACAGGATCGATGTATAGGAGATCCAGACTCCCTCCAAATTCGAAGGATTAAATCCGACAAACGCCAAAAAGCTCTCCAGCTAATGTTTGGAAGAGCCAAATTCTGAGAAGATGTACTAGCCCATCCCATTGTAGTAGTTTATATGCACAAGCACAAGTGAACTTTCCATTGGGTGTCAAGGTCCAAGCAAGCCCCTATCGATCAGCAATTGTATTAATCGTTTATTCTTCGATGAATGTGTTCTTTTAACTATTCAAAGTGTTTCATAATTATCATCTGTTTTGTTTGATTGTATTGAATACATGAATTAGATAGTACCTACTACTAAATAAATTCTTAAGTTAATAGTATAAACAATACTAATACGACCAAACAATCTTATACAAGAGAATGAAGAGCCAAATGGGAGATCTTGAACACACTATAAGAGCCTGACCATGCGATTAGACAATGGAGAAGCTCTATAGGTCACCCAGGATGAAGAAGAGCACGGGGATGGAGACCTCCCTTTTATAGACAAAAGAATGACACAATTCTTATCCATCAAGCAAGGATGCAAATGGATCGAATCGGATTCGAATCAGGGTATATTTGAATCTAATCCAAAAAGAAAATATAACTGTTTAAATAAAGAAAATAAATATATATAAATATTTTTTAAATTATTTTCATCAATATATATACATGTTTTCATAAAAATAAATAAATGATATAAAAAATTTAGAAAAATACAATATAAATAACATATTTATAAATAAATAAATAACATATACAAATATATAGCATATATAAATAAATGAATACATAACATATATATATCAGATAGGGGGTGATGTGAATCAGATCCAATTATCCAATCCGGTCCTGAAAATCCAAAACAGGTATATCCAAACGATATAGAATAAGACTTCGAATCAGATCGGATGATGATATTGAAGGGATGAGAGATCCATCATATGGATAGCCCAAACCCTGCAGGAAGGTTGGGCGAAATTTCAAAAATTTCTCTCTCCCATGTGGAAATCACATTCCCTATTTTAGAAAAATGCATTTCCAATGATCAATCTTGAACCTAAACCAGACCAGATCTGAGACCAAAAGGTAGGAGAGGGATATACCTGAAACGGAGTAACAGTAACTCCCAACGAAGGTGTTCACGCCCAAGGAGAAAACCAAAGACTGCTCCCACTGAAGATGACACAGTGTGAGGTGGAGCAGAATCAGTAGGATGGCTCTTCAACAAGAACCAAATTCTTCAGCAAGAATGTGATGGAGGGCTAGTGAGCACGACTTCAGATTACATTTTCTACCAAAAAGATAATATCAAGAACCTTTCTTGATCACTCCCACAGGTGGAGATCGAACTGATAGGGGTGGCAAAGCAGGGAAGAGCAGAAGAAAGGAGCAGTCAAACTGCAAATTCTTTTCTCTATGTAATCTGCGAACTAAATGTTGTAATTTTGGAGGTTCGCCCTGTTCCTCTATTTATAGCCTTTAAAAAGAGCATCTCCTAATCCCATTAGGAGTTTCTTAATCCAAATCTTGTATTTGGATCTGGACTCTCTTTAAGAGATAAAGATAATTCATTATCTTATCTACAGATAATGATCAGCCCTCCTAATATAATTAGGAGTTTCCTGATCCAAATCTTTATTTGGATCTGGATTCTCTAAGTGGATAAGGATAATCCCTTATCCTATCTGTTGATCTAAATCCCAGAACCGCCCCCTATTTAATTAATCTTATTAAGCCAGTTCAAATTGGGCTTTATGCCCATTAAGTCTTTGTACTCACTTAGCCTCCTAACTGCTACCTAGTTGGCTATCCTTGTATGACGTGGGACCCAAACATTGATCTACACATCAGCCACATGGGTTCAGCCCAGCTTCTATTACAAGGCCTGGCCGAATTCACTGTAGGAAATAGTGAACCCCTGAGTCCATCACCATGGGCTCTTAATGGGCCCAACATTTACACTAAATAGTCATTGGGTCAAGTCACCTTATAAAAACACAAGGACTGTGGGCAGATGCAAGATTAGCCCATCAAATATTACCCTCAATAGTCTTACACTTAACCTCTCAGCCCATAATGTTCAAACACTGCCCGACAAGTCCCTCGGCTGCAAGGTACAGTGTTACACTCTCTACTCACATGAATCTCAGAAATTAAAACATTTTGCAAACATTTTGAAACCATAAAATATATATGTATATCTTTATATAAATATATTTTGCAAAACAAATTTCAACCGTTGAAATCGACTGCCGACAGTTTTGGTTTCCATCAAAGAGAGTGCATTCCCGATCATTCACTTTGTCCGACAAAGAGGCTGATCCTGTCACTATGATCACCCACTCAGATGAATTCTCAGATTGTTCCAACATACCTAGGTTTTGACCCCCTCTAAGGATCTCACTGATTGGCATATCAAAGACAGTCCAATCTGACACCTAGTGTAGTATCATAATCGAGTCTAAGGGTCAAGTGTAACATTCTAGTTTTGCCCATCTATCTCCAAGGTCTAGGGCAATAGTGGAATTCTGGTCCGGTTCAGGGTTTCAAGAAAACCCACACTGCATGTACCTCAGGTCTCACCCTAGTGGATGAGACAGGCCACCCCGACCAATTTGGCGGCACATCAGTGTCAGCCTTCGCAAGATAAATCTCACCAGATCTACCCAACAGTTGTGAAGATTCTAAACTAACACGAGTCTCATATGTGTCCAATTTAAGGGTATTACATAAAAACACACCATAATAACATGAATCAAATATGTACTTTATTCATTTACTTTAAATGTCATAATGTACATCATTGGAGCTAAGGGCATACACTGTCTAACAGATATATCCATTTGCACCCCTACCATCAAGTTAACCCCTTAGTGTTGGCTATAAATGCCATAAATGAGCAGTTTCAAAACTCACCATTGCAAGATTATTAAACTTTGAAGTTTCAAGCATTTTAATTCCAACAAATAGAAGTTAGGAACACTCAAATTATTTTTTTGGTTGATTATTTTATTTTTTTAATTTTTGGCATTGTGGTTGATTATTTTCATACCCTGCAAGCAATGAGCTCGAATCTCCCAAGTCTAAATTGTGTATCAATTAAGGAATCAAAATTTTAAGAAGTATTTTAGGTATTCCACATAATGGATTATCAAGTGATATAATCCAAGGTTAATTATTGATATATACCTTGTTAACCTTTTAAAAACAACTTATATGTATCTTGATGACCTTTTCAAGGTTTAAGTCTAATAGATAAATAATTGATTATTTAATCGTTCATTAAATTTTCAGAATTTTCCATTTTCTCTCTTTTTTTTTCTCTTCTTTGCTCCTTTCTCCCTCCTTTTCTTGATGCCACAAACCAGGGGTGCTCACAGTTGGGTTAATCAAACTGTGGGATTATTTTTGAAACCGAATAGGGGTTATTGGTTTTTGGAAAACTGGTAATTGAAACCGAACCAAAGCCAATCAATTAACCAGATGACCAGTTCAATTCATCAGTTTTTCGGTATTTTATTATTTACAATATATATTATAGAAAAATATATAAATATATAATAAAAACTAGAAATATATATATAAACTATTATATTTTAAATAATAAATAATATATTATATATTATAAATATATATATATATATATTTATTTATTTATATATAATGTACATTTATTAATTTATAATGTATAGAAAATATATAATATATAATATACATAAATATACATAAAATATATATGAATATATGAATACCAGTCAGTTTGATTAATCGCCGATTTTCTATTTTGGTGAACCAAAACCGAACCGATACCTTCGGTTTTTTCAAAATACCGAATCAACCATTTCAGTTAACCAAATTTTTTGTTGGATTTTGATCAATTTTTCAGTTTTTCTTGCTCACCCCTACCACAAACCCAACGGTGCTTGTTCATCAATCATGTTATCAAACTCAAAACGAGAATGAGTGAAGAAAAGGTGGAGTCACCAAAAAAACTGGGGCGGTTTACAAAAAAGAAATAAAGGTGTTCACAGACTAAGCCTCGCTTTCGGATTCATTGTATGATTAGATTGTGAGGCCAAATAACATTCTTGACAGGGGTAAGTGAAGTCAATCCCTGATTTGGAGAACGGTCCGCCGCTCCGCCCAAACCAGCACCGGACTACAATGGTGTAGACATTGGTTAACGAATTTGGTGGAGGGTCAGAAGTTGATGTGATTTGTCTAAACAAAATTGTACTGATGCAAAATTATGGTAGTGCAAATGATTTGAGTGTAAATTCTAACCTATTTTTCTTTTAAATTTTAGCTTATTTTATTTGATTACAGTATAAATGAAGAAGTAAATTAAAACATGAAACAGAAAAAAATAAAACCCAAAATAAAGTTAAACCAAAATTTGCTTTTTTTTTCATTTGCACTCTCATGCATTTGTGCTAGTGCAAATAAAATTGCACTGCAACCAAACGCAGCCTAAGGGCAAGCTACTAACATAGGGTAGAGAGCAAAACAGGGTGGAGAGCAACGAGTAACAATCTACTGTTCTTGGCCATGCCAGACTCCGAAGGGAGAGCCTTTGTCGATATGCCGTCATCAATTTTGTTTAAGTCTGTTTTAGAGAACGATCTGCCCAAGCCAGCATCAGAGTTCATCGTCAGAGACCTGAACACCCCCGGGAATGAGCAGAAGGTTTTGAAGATTTAGGGGTAAATTTGGCATTATGATTTTTTTAGAATGTGCTGTTAACGCCTTAACGGTTCTAAACAGTCCAATGTATAAGATATACAAAGGTAATTAACCCTAATTTTAACATTGAGCCACCAGATCTTTTTTTTGCTCAAGTTGTTATGCAAGGTTCAAAATTTCGATTTGTTATGGGCCAATATCGGCCGATGCGCATCGTATCAGAGGCTTCCCGAAACACCCTTACAAGGGGTGTTTTAGGGTTTAATTCGGTTCAGGGGATAGACAGGCCTTAAACCAACCCCTCTGAACCAGGTTTTATAAAACCTAAAAAACAAAGAGAAATGAGGTTCGATACAGGCCGATATGCCCAAAAAAAAAACAAAGAAAAATGAGATTTGGGGTATCGGCCATATCAATATTTTGAACCATGCTGTTATGGCTCCTCGAATTGGAAGGCTTATTTTTTGAAGATACAATTGGTTTACATGTTCCTAGTGGTGGTATTTTTAATGATTTTTTGAACTCTGTTTCATTCTCATTTTCCGTTTGATAATGGATAATAAAATTTTGAGGTCAGTGTCCCTCCATCTGGAGTAAAGCTTGGGTTTCCAGGATTATAATAGAATAGAAGGGGCCTATCCAGAATTTTTTTAAACAAAAACTTCTTAAAGAATCTTAGTTTACACAATTACCAAATGGGGTGGACTTGGATCTAGACTATAACTCATTTTTGTCACCAATGCGTTGAACATAACCATGCTTAATGCTTTTAGCCTTTTATAAAAGAAAATCTAAGCAGCCCAAGTCTATTTATTGAGTTCTGTGAACTTTTAAGAAATCACTTCTCTTACAATAGAGTGCTGCCAAATAAGGTGGACAAATATGAAAAGGAAATTATAAAAGATCCATGCACCCCCCCCCCCCCCTAGAGAGCCCACATAGCGTGGCGAGCAGCAGATCCCAAGTGCCCCCTAGACTCTTATCGTCAGTTGTAATAGCTTTCACCTGACTCTTAATTGTCAACAGAAATATCCTTGAGCTTTTCCTTCAGCTCCCCAGACTGCATTGGATGGACAAGGAAATTAGAGCAACCAAATAGAAACCAATTTAGGTCAATACACATTTGATGTAGGATCTTTACCTGATGCATGTTGAGAATAATATCTGATCCTCCAATAAACTCCCCCTTAATAAATATCTGTGGAAATGTAGGCCAATGGCTGCAGGGACAGATTTCCGAATTGCACAATTAAAACAAGCACTACATGTAAAACTTTTGATCTTATGATGCACAATAGATGGGATTTGTCAGATAATTTATTCTCTGAACAGTTGAAACTAGACGAATTTCCAATCTGACCTTGAATTTTCTGAAACTCTGGAATTTGCAATCCCTACTTCAAAGAATTCATACTTTCATCTACTTTTTTTCCTTGGGCAATACTAGCATCATGGACTGTGTCCACCACCATGGATGCCTAAAATCACAATACAGCCTAATGATGCATCTTAATTCTTAATTCAATACATGGGATTATTAAGTGTAACATTTTCTTCCGTTGGTGATACAAGGGCAACTTGGCCCAAGAAAAAGCATTTACCTTTCAACCAGTATGAACAGGTAGCATCTCTTTTTTTTTCTTTTCTTTTTTTTTATCATTAACCAAGTTGCATTTAGTTTCATCAATGGACGTCATACTTCAATGGAGGTTGAGGCTGATAGCTTTGGCTCTCTGGTAACTGGGGGGTTGAACAAGCTCGAAGCTCTCCCATTTCCCTCTCATCTGTTCACTGCAAATTGGGCATAATGTTCAGTTTCTGAACAGGCGCCTCTTGAGAATTCCTTTCAAGTGAGGCAGATGAGGCAGCCCACAGGTCACAATCCGTTACCAATTTCAACCCGTTGGTGCAACCAACAGTTAGTCCCTATCCGCTTGTACTGCTGCCCAGATTGAAGTCTTTGGTTTCTCTGCAATCTCAAGGCTTGGTTCCTGTGAATAGCATTTGGAACAACAGGCTTAAATGCAGTACGATGCCTACGGGCAGGGGGGGCGCCTTCAAGACAGGCCCAGGTTATCAGAAAGAAAGGTGCCTTGACCACAGTCACAGAGCTCAAGGACCATGGCTCCTCTGAGGTAGGTGTTGGGGAATTGCTGTTGCCCAGTTCTCAGACCACTTCCCACTCTTTTGGGACTGAAAACCAGGCTGAGCCTGTGGCTGGCCATGTAGAAAACCCGAGGCCAAAGGATGAGATTCCAAGACTAGTTCAAAACTGTTCATAGTAGTGTGGGGAGCAGGCAATGATTTTTGGAAAATTTCTTGGGGTGTCTTTAGCAGATGGTTAGGAGGCTCAAATATGCAATTGGTTCAGAGCTATGGAATGCTCAGCCATGAAGTCTGGTTCACACAATCTGGCTTGCAGTTCTAACTCAAAACCTGATTTGGATTTGGATAGTGTTATTTCAGGCTGTTCCTCTCAACTGCTCAGTAGATAGTCTTGTAGGGGTGAGAAAATGGGTAGGTTCTACCCAGAACCAAATGGAACCGACCTCAAACCAGCCTTGAACCAACCCGACCCGGTCTTTACAGGGTAAGGTCTGGCTCCAAATTCTTGGAACCGACCTCAGTGGGGGTCGGTTCCAGGGTCTAGAGGTTTACCCTACCCAAACCGACCTGATGAACTGGCCTTGGTTGGCCTTGGTGGAACCGGCCTTGGAAACGACCTTGCTTTGAAATAAATCCCAAAGTATTTTTAAGGGTGTGAAGATTTGAGCCCAAGCACTCATGGTTATAAAAGCCATGGTCTCAATTGACCATCGAGTTACTTAAGTGATTTGATCATTTGTTTTCATTCTAATATTTGTATGTGTATAATAAATAATGTAAAAGGCAGGCAATATTTACAAAATTTAAATTATAATGGCAAATTTTCAACCATGTATTAATATATTATGATAATTTGCATATTAGATTATTCAATTTAATCAATAAAGATAATATAAGTTTTAAACTATATATTATCATTATTGAAAATCAAGTTTTTGAAGGACATGTTTCATTTTTTTTTTCTTGAAGGGGGAGAGTAAAGAAAGAACAGGTTCCACGGGTAGACCCCGGAACTGCCAAGACCAGAACCCACCTTGGAACCGACCTTCAGAGGGTAGGTTCCGGTTCCAAAAACCTGGAACCGAGGTGAGCATGAGTTGGTTCGGTCCAGTTCCATGGAACCAAACCGAACCAAGATCAACCCATGCTCACCCCTATAGTCTTGGCTGTCCACTCTTGATTGTTTTGGCTGTGATTAAAGTTTGAGGCTTGTCTATCACTTTGTTTGCAGGGTTTATGTTCAATTCTTGCTTTTACTTGCTTCTGTTCTTTTCGCTTGGTTGTTCTGAAGGGCCTAGTCCCAATTCTTTGTAGGTTCAGGTCTAGGCCCCTTTTATAGTTGTTGCATAGTCTTTGGTATTAGGTGTTGTCTGACTTGTCTCTCTTTGAGGTTCTCTTCGTTTCTGCTCATCTATATGCCTTGTATACCTCTCTTTTTAGTTTCTTAATACATTACCTTTGTCAAAAAAAAAGATGGGACAAATAACCTTCAATCGGCTAATGATAGCAAAGACAACTTCCTAAAGAAAAAAGGTTCTGTAGATGAATCTATGCAGAAACATAATTGACTTACCTGAAGGCTTTTACAATAACTTTTAATCTGTTAATGATAGCGAAGACAATTTGCTAAAGAAAAATGGTTCTGTAGATGAATCTATGCAGAAACATAATTGATTTACCTGAAGGCTTTTACAGCATTCTTCAATTCAAGATCTTCCAAAATGTTTCTGGCACTTAAAGGAACATCTGTGAGCAATACCCAGTGCAATAAATTCATTAGTGTCGGTAGACTTTGAATCAAATTACACTGGAAAGTGCCCCCCACCCCCACCCCCCAAGAGAAAGAAAGGGGGGGAGATCTATACAAAGAAAGAAATTGAAAAAAGAACCAGAAACATTTATTAATCTCCTGTCCTCTTGTGATTTGCATTTAGGAATATTTCTGCTCTCTTTGGTTGCAGATGGGTCCCCTCACAAGAAGTGGTGAACTTATTCAACCCCAACTTCCTGAGGCATAAGGAAAAGAGAGAAAAGGTCATGTGGAGGACAGTACAAGATGCATTGGTTTGGACAATATGGGAAGAAAGGAACAATAGAATCTTCAATGAGAAGAACAGGTCTAAGGAGGAACTAGTGGAAGCTATCTTAGTGAGAGCTGCACACTGGGTAAAAATATTGGAGCCATTCCAAGTTTTTTCAGTCAATGACATTATTACTTATTAGAACTTGGTCTGAAGTAGTACAAACAGGTAAACACATTGAGGAAGTGATAATGGATAAGAAGCCCCCAGCTGTAAATAAACTGAAACTGAACTTTGATAGTAGCTCTATGGGCAACCCAGGAAGAGCAGGCCTTGGGGGAGTGATTAGGGATCATCAAGATTTAGTGGTAGTGATGTATTCAGGTCCAGTTGGCTTAGGAGATTCAATCAAAGCAGAAATCCTGGCACTTCTACAAGGTTTGAGATTAACACAACAGCTTGGTCTCAGAGATTTGGAAGTTGAAGGTGACTCACAACTAGTAATTCATTGGACAAAGCAACTCAAAGCAGCACCTTGGAAATATAGACATGCTTCTAGGGAAATTGATGTTATTGCACAGCAACTAAATTAAAACTTCAGCTGGGTGAGAAGATCTGCAAATGGGGTAGCAGGAGTTGACAGGCCCAGTCTTTTCTAGGCAAACTTCTAAACTTTGTTACCAAAGGGTGTTGGAATATTCCAACAGTTGTATTAAGTTTTAATCATTAATATGAAATCCTTTCGCTGATAAAAAAAAAAGAACTCAGAAACATGAGACCACCAAGTTATGAATCTGGGAAATAAATTATGGTACTATCACTCTTTTTTTTTTAATCTGTAAGGTAAAGTATTTCATTAATAACAAAAGGCCAAAATACAAAGGGCCACTGTACAATGAGAAACTGTACAGCGGAATAGACAGCAAAAACTCAGAAAAGCCAGCCTCCAAAGCAACCAAAAAACACTATAAGCTTCTTACAAAAAGGAAATCAGGCTCAATAAAAGAACAAGTGTGTCTAGTTTTAAAAAGTGGATGATTTGTCAGCCACAAAAACACCATCCCCATAATCCTGTTGAGCACCTCTTCTTTTGATTTCTGCCTCCTTTCAAAAATTCTATTATTTCTTTCACCCCATACTGCCCAGAAAACAGTACAGGGGAGAATACTCCAAGCTACTTTTCCAGCCTTGCTGAATCCTCCTAAGAACCAAGCCTCTAGGAAACCCTTCACATCCGCCAGGAAGCACAATTTAACTCCAAAAAGTTCTACCAGTCTTGTCCAAACCCAGTAAGTGAAGTCACAGTGCAGTAACAAATGGCTAGTATTCTCCACACTACCATTACATAATGAGCAGTCCAGATCTTCCACTTCTAAGCCCCTTCTGGCTAAATTCTCCTTGATTAGAATCTTATCCAGCACTACAGACCAAACAAAGAAAGCTAACTTTGAAGGTACAGGCCTGATCCAGATCCTGTTACTCGAAAAGTGAGAGGTATCCTCCCTTGATAGACAGCTAAAAAAGGACTTCACTGAGAAGGAACTTGATTTCTCATACAACCATTTCCTTTTGTCCTCCCCTGTTCCTAGGATCTTGGCATCATACAAAATCTGCAGCAAGTTGACCAAAGACTCCACTTCCCAGTCGTTCATATTCCTCCTGAACAGAGGGTTCCAGGTAAAATGACCATTTTGCCTCTCCATATAATCAGCCACTGATGCATCCTTATTTACAACTATCTCAAACAGATCAGGGAATAAGGTCCTTAGGGGGCCATATCCACACCAGTAATCCTCCCAAAAAAGTACCCTATGGCCACTTCCCAGTTCCCACTTCATATTTTATGCCCTTCAAGAACTGAGGACAAATTCTCTGGATAGCCTTCCAAACTGAACATCCATAGGGGGATCTTACCTCTTCTGTCTCCCACTCCCTGCTACTAGAACCATACTTTGCTATAACTAATCTTCTCCGCAAACTGTCAGAAAGCTCATTAAATCTCCACAGCCATTTCCCTAGCAAGGCTGAGTTGACATTTTTCACTGATCTTATCCGTTATCCCTAAACCTCCCTTTGCCCTGGATGAGAAGATTCTCTAAATTAAATTTATCAAAAAAGTACAAGAAATTCCCTGTACAATGAGAATCTGAAATATATTTGTTAAGTTGTCTGAGGTTGGGTGGTTCTCTCAAGTTTCTTTAATGGAGAAAGTTTGTTGTTTGCAGTGATTGTAGAAGGGTGTGGTGGAGTTAAGGGGTGTATTGGAGGGTTTTTTTTCCTCTCAAGTGACTTCTGGTCATCTTTCTTGTAATCTCTTATTCCTTTTAATAAATTTTATTTTACCTTCACGAAGAAAATCTGAATAAAGGGTATATAATCATATAATAGACATAATCAAAAAACTCAACTATGATTTACAAAAAGATTATTATCCTTATCAGAAAAAAAAAAAAAGTATTGTATGGCTTCCTTTTGAAAAACTTTGAATTTGTCATCCACCTATGAAGCATATCCAGCATGCTTCTTAAAAACCTCATCCACAGAAACCTGTTTTGCTTCAAAGATTCGGGCATTTTCTCATTCTCCACACAGACCAAAAAAATAATAAAAAAGAAATTGCTGCTGGAATGATGCCCCAATCCACTCTGCCACCTTACTCAAACCCTTCAAATACCATGCTCCAAGGAAACTGTAATGCCTCCTGGAAAACACATCTCTAGCTGAAAACAGATTCATCATTCTACACCATAACCTATATGAAAAATCATAGTGCAGCAATAGGTGAGCTGCTGTTTCCAAATTGCTGCTACACAGAACATAACCCAAATCATCCATTTCTATAACCCTTCTCATCAGGTTCTACACAGAACACAACCCACATCCCCCTATCCTCCCTTTCCCCAACCTGACAGCCCAATCTTATGGATTTCCACTATGTTCATGTGCAAGGGTAAATAACTAAATACAAAATGTTTTACAAGCAGCGCTAACAGCTGTTGTAATAAGATTCAATAAATGCTGAGTATAAAATAGCCATTATGAACCATAATATACATTAAAGCACCCATTAGCAACCCACTTTGAAGTAAGATAATTTTGTCATTTTTACTGATGAAAAAAAGGATAGTTTCATAATTTTGTTATGAAATGAAGAGCGTGTAGGGGGTGCTAGAAGAGGAGGTATTAATAAATAGTGCAAAAAATAACATATACCTTCATAAAACTAGAATTACTGAAGCGAAGGAGGTGATAAGCAAGATGAAGAAGAGGAAGGCATTAGGACCTGATGGTATCCCAATATAAGTGTTGAAAGGTATGGATAAGGCATCTTTTATTAAGTTCTAACAGATACACCATGAGAAACAAAATGTTGGGGGCATTTTTGTCATGTGCTAGTGTGTGTGTGAGTGTGTATGTGTGTGTGTGTGTGTGTGTGCATGTGTGATGCAAACCCAGAACTGACCTTATTAATAATTGGGACACATAATAAACCCAGTCTGTGTAATAAGGTCAGGTTGGATGGGGTTGGGCCAGACCATTGAAAAATGAACTAAATTAAGGATGGAAAAATTAGTTTGGGGTACAAATCAAGCATATAATTATCATCATCAAGCATATGATAAAAAAAAAGAAAGAAAGAAGGAAGAAAAAACAAGAGTAAATCCAAATCAAGAACATGGAAACTTACTGTATTGTTTCAGCACTCTAACTGCCAGTGAGCTGAATCCGCATTGAGGAGCCTCAGGAATCCCTTTCATATAAATCATCACTGGGTTTTCCTTGACATCCTGTAGATTAGAAACTAGCCATAATCCATAAACAAGAACCACGAGCAAAGGAGTGAACCTCAGGCAGTAATATCTTAATCAAGCTTAACTAAGAAAACAATGTAGAAGACTAGTTTTCACAAGCTGATAGGAAAAACACACCTGCTCAACAATGTCCTTTGTGGAAAGGCCAGAATTCACAACTTTGGTTGTAGGTCTGAAATCTTCATGACTTCCTGAATCATCTGTAGTTGAATATCTCATGCCATGCTGGTATAAAGATCCCGACACCTACTTGACATGTTTAAATTAGGAAATGAATTTTGCCTCCATAATCTAGGTAAAAGAAATAGGATACTTGGAAAACAGAAGTTTGTGCTATAAGTTTATAATGATAGTCATGAGTCTATTTCAAGCCTAAGCAAGCAAGCATTCATATTTCATAATAGCTCTCCAATCCTGATTTTCTAGTTCAGATCTTAGCATAATCACTGGAGTCTTTTCCTTTCTCATAATAAATTATTCTGGTTGTGCTAATGGTCAAAAAACAAGCAGTGCATAAGCATTAAAGACTGGGTTATTATAAGCTTAATCAGCAACCCACTAGTTCTGTCCCATTAATGCACTCATTTCATAAATTAACAATGAGTGTTTCCTGGATCTATACATTCTCTGCTCACCAATTTAACAGACACAATTTCTTTTCTAATCTTTTCAACTCCTAAGGTTTATTGCATAGTTGGCAAGATGCTAAAGTAGCAAGTATAAAAAATAAAGGTGATATAATATGAAAGAATCAAATATTAGAAAGTAGATAGCAAGTATCAAACACTAAAAGTGATAAAACATGAAAGTGTTAAACATTAAAGGCCGAATGGAAGCAACGTTACACAGCCTATGGGAAGAAACCAAAGGGGACGGAGCTAGGGCTGTCAATGGATTGGACTTGAATTGGATACAATCCAATTAAATTGGATTTGGATAATCCATTATGATCATTGGATTGGAGTAGACCATACCAAAAAAACATATTATATTATTGGATCAGACTGCACCAGTAACCAATTGGATCAAATGCAATACAATCCAATGTTACCTCCATGATTTAAATTAATGAGATTATCAGTTTTTTGTAATACCAATAAATGGCATAGTAGGACATCATCAATCTTAGTAAAATTTTTCAGCATCCACCATGTAAATGCCTTGAATAACTGAATGCCACAGTGCCTCCCTTTCTTTTGGGAACCTCAAGAGTCATTTACCCAAGAAAGCCTTGCTCCTTTCTCGTATCCTTCCTATTCCAAGTCCACCTGCCTCCCTTAATTAACACACCTCCTCCCATCTCAAGAGATGACTGTTACCATAATTACTTTTAAAATCCCACAAGAAATTTCTACTTATCTTCTCACCATTTTGCACAACTCTCATCAGGACTTTGAATACTGACAAAAGTAAATTGGAAGATTGGAAAGAGTGGATTTAATTAATATGGCCATCCCTCTTTTAGTCTTTTATGGGTAGCAGATTCTTTTTTACAAACTCAAATTCGGTATTACCATAACAAGTGTGGTACTTTGATTATATCATTAGCCTCTTATCTCTGTTATTCAATGGACCTTAAGTCTCCCTATTACCTCTTTCCAAATTATATTAATACTAAATAAAAATGTTAACAGATTATTTGAGTGGTAGGTTTTTTTTTCATTTACAAACTCAAATTCAGCATATAGACCTCAATAAATTTTATTTACAAGTCAAACAAAAAAAATAAAATAACTTAAAGTTCATGTTCATACCACTGTTCTCAAAGAATGTGCGGCATGTAGACCAGTAACACCTCTGACAAGTAAATTAGACAATGACCTAGCCATGATATTATATACGCAGGTGTGTGTTCTTCAACCTTGTAAATATGATATGTTGGAGTTTGAAGCAATATCTATATGTAATTTAGCTGCATGGAATAATATTAGTATCAAGAAAAACATTTAGAAAAATACAATGTATTCAAGTGAAGCAATCTTAAGCAACTAATAGCATTCCATATAACTCCATTGGGATATCATGCACAAACCATCCAAGAAAGGGAAATCCAATAAGATTAAAGATCGAAATTTGAAGCACCACTAATCAAACAACTATAACAAACAAATGAATCCCCAAGTGATTACAGAATACAGATACAGGACAGAGTGAAGAAAAACAATGTCAGCGTTCCCATACACTATCAGTCTATCACAAGATCATAATCAAGATTCAAAATACTGCAACATATTGGTGTGTATCAGCTGATATGAATCAATTTTCAGGGTCACCAATGTGCTAAATACAACAATTTAGGATAAATGGCCATATAGAAAATAGCCTTCCCAAAGATGGCCTGATCCAAAGCTCTTATTTTCTATGTGTTTCATTCATTTAATCACATTATACACAATTATTGTGTAGAATGCATATCAACAATACTTTGAACCATGATCAGCATCAAATATATGGTTATAGTTTTTTCTTTTTTTTTTTTGATCAGCAAATAAAACATTTATTAATTCATTAATTACTGACTAAAGTACAAGAGTTTAGAATTTCAGCATTGTAGTGACCCAGATTACTACAGATTACAGCTTTGCCCAGAATAACTATATATGGTTATTAGGAAAAAGTTCAAATGGCTAGTTAGAGACATGACAGTTCTTGTGAAATGGGAAAGGCGGTCTGTAAATGGAATGGCTGATTATTTTGCGAAGATGGGGGTGTTTAAGTCTGAACTGTTCTTGGCTCAGTTGTAATTTGGGTCATTGTAGAATGGGATCGCACCTTGTGTCCCTATTGGGATAGTTTCTCTTCTAAATCTTGATGTAATCCCTCTTTATTAATAAAATGCTATCATTTATCAAAAAAAAAAAACTATATATGGTTACAGTTTTTTTTTATGAATGTATATATGGTTACAGTTATTTCCATGCTTGGAAAACTTTCTTTGTGGATGTTTTAACATTTTATTTTTGACCATTGAGAGGTTGTAGCATATCATACAAGAAGACTTGTTGAGTAAATCAAATATAATGTTATATGTCAATCCCAATAAAAGTAGAAAATTTCACTTGCATAAGCTAAAATAAGTAGTTTAAAGAAATGAAAACACCAATTGGCCTTTTTATCAATAACACAAATTGGATTTTTCTTTCCAATAAATTCAAAGTAGAGCATCCAGATGAACTAGGTCATACATGTCCAAACTTAAAAATAATAGAAAACACAAAAAATACTCCTTGGTTATGATTATAAGTTGCACAACAAAGTAAAGCCACCTAAAAGACCTACTATATCTACTCCAACTTATGCAACAAAATTATTGGTTTAATTTTCCACTCAGATTTTGAGGCCAAATTAAAATCAAAGGGTTTTTCTTTTTTTCCTATTTTTCTTTTTTATTTCCTTTTTGTTTATTCCTGATTCTAGGTTAATGCATGATTTTCCCTTTTTAGTGCATGTATAGGTTGTATATTCCTATAAACAAATGCAGTTTTTCATGTTCAAGTTGTAGAACCCCCAAAACAAGTGTATTTGCAAGTTTTCTATTTATAAATTTGTGTCCAATTGTTCTCTAGTCTTAAAAAAAAAATCAAGTGCTCTAGAAAGGAATAAATCTCTAATCTAGAAAAAAGAGACACATCAAAAACAAATAGGAAACAAGGATTCAACTATGTTGCCGGAAAGACATGATACCAGAAAAACTTATAACCAATGAACCAGCATCATGAAAGTGGTAACCAATCGGGTGGGTTTTCATCAAAATTCACAGGGGCTTTTGATTGATTAAAGACTTCCCAGTATCATGTCTTTCCAGCATCATAGATTTTTCCAGGAAACAAACACTCAAAATATCACCATCGTTGCACAACCAAAGTCCTGATCATCAAGCATGGGAAACTTTACAGGTCAGCAGGTTCTTTTCTGGTTTACAGATCATGTAGTCCAGAATCATGGTTTTAGTTAGGCCAAGCCCTTAATGCATGGAACTAAGACAAATGAGCAAGCAAGTAATTCCATCCAATCTATGAAAACAACAGAGACTCAAATTAAAATAAATTAAGTAGAGTCCAATAAGAAGTTAGAAAGAATTAAAACAAGTCATAATGCAGATTATTTGGTCCTAATCTCTTTGGTTACCATGGACATTAAAGCTAGTATTCTGATGCATGCTTACATCTTGACCAGATGACCTAAGAGTGATTGTGGGATTACTAGACTTTGGTTTTTCAAAATTGACTACAAAAGTTATGTATCCAGAAAAGTTCTATAGAAACATAGCATGAAACCTTCTTGCAATTTGTGAACACGGACAAATTTTATCCACCCCTTAGTGCCTGTTAGGGAGGGCTTTCATGCAGCAGCATCTGGATTTGCCAGGTGCACCCTGCTCCGCATAGAAAACCTAGAAGCTATGTTTGGTGAAAACCCCAGAAGTCCTAAATAGGACTTAATTCAGCCTAGAAATTGGCTTTCTGGTGAAGTGGGTTTTAGCAGCGATGAAAGCAACTCAATCAAAGCTGAAGCCCTCCCAAGCGAGCCCTTAGTAATCACATAGCTTTGGCTTTGCAAGCAATTCTTAAACTCCACATCCTACATTTTAGTTTGGTCTCCTAACAATGTTAGCATCTGCACTTTGTAAATATTTCTCTCTTCAAACTTAGAAAGTAAGTCTTGGATCAAGTTGTATCACCGTTGGTTAGGACATTTTCAAAGAGAAACCTCACTAATGGGTGCTCATGGGCCAGGCTGGGCTTAGCACATACAATATGTGTGTAAAATGTATGTCACACCTTGTGTGTGTTTGTGTGTGTTAAAAATGAACTCATTTGAAGGAACTAGGAGTAGCTTTAATAGATGATAAAACGAGTAGAAGTAAACTAAGATGGTTTGGTCGGAACAGAGAACTATCTACAACACCCATAAGAAGTGATTTATTATAAGTTAAAGGGGCTAGAAGAGTTGGGGACAGACCAAAAAAGGGCATGGATTAAGGTAGTAAGAAATTATTTAAGGGCTCATATTTAACAATAGATATGAAACTGAACAGAACATAATGGTAAAAATAGGTTTCATGTAGCTGACACCATATAGTTAGGACAAAGCTTGGATTATGGTGATGGTGACATATTACATATATTACAAGCTCAGCCCCAAGCTGAGCTAGACACAAAACCTAGGACTAAGTCTAAAAATTTGTGGGCCAAGCTAGAAATGATCACCCCTAGTCCCCTACTCATCAAAATATTCTGGTATTGTCCATGGCACAGCACCTCTTACTAGGCCAGGAGCCAGCCATGACAATATTCATTAGTCAAACAATTAATATTGCAAATTACATTTCATTCATTCTCTACTTCAAATATAATTTCTCCAACAAAAAATTAACTTCAAAAAGTAATTAAATAACTTCCAGAAATATTAGCATACTAACGATTTGTACGTTAAATAATGGAGTTTATAAAAATAAACAATCCAAAGGGGTGGGAGCTCACATTTGCTAATTACAACATTTTCTTGTAGCTACTCAATTTTGGCCACTCTATCCTATCTCCATCACCTAATCTGAGGCTCTGAGCCTACCCTCTGTCCAACCAAACCTGTTACAAAACCCCCAAAGAGATCCCATTAGCCCTAGGCCTCAAAACCCCATCAAAACACAAATTTAACCTTCTTTTTTTATCAGCAACACAATTGATTCATTAGATTAAAAACTAGAGATACAACAAAGAGTTGTGGGCACAAAACAAAGCCCAAACAGAAACTATTCACTATTTACAGAATTACCCAGAACATAGATTGTCTTTGAGCTCCTTGCTTTGCAAGACCATCAGCCAAACTGATTGCAGATCTCCTTATCCACCTTATTTGGACCATCATGTCTTTAGAAATCTGCTTGAAACTCCTGAATTCATTCCTTAACCTCCATATGATCCCTTCCCCTTTTTTCAGCCAGCCCACAACTACATTTGAATCACCTTCAATAATCAGCTTAGTAATCCCAATTTCTTTAGCTTTCTCTAAAAACACAAATTTAACCTTCCAGCCACTAAAACCCAAAAACCCCTTAAAATGCAGTCCATTTGTCCTAAAATATACACCTTGAATGGCTCAGGCAAAACCTTGAAAATCAGCCTTCAAAGCCTAAAATGAAACACTGAGACAACACAAAATTAAACCATGAAAACTACTAAAAAACACCGAGTTCCGATCCTCAAAACCCTCTTCAAATCTCCAAAAACAACCCCAAAAATCGCCTAAAAAACTCATCTAAACCCATTTGATTCCCTTTTGATGTCCCTATTCAATAGAACCCTAGCCAGACTCATATGATTCCCTTCCAATGGCCCTAATCAATAGGACCAATGAAATTTGATACCCCTAACCCCCAATCAATCAACCAGACATCACCATTTAAACTAAGGAACCAAAATTCAATTACACACCAAAATTCATAATTAGACTCCATAGATCAACCGTTAAATCTTATGCCATACCTTTCCAAAGATCAAGATCAAAAAAGACAATAAAAGATCAAATTCACATCACGTGGCTTCAAGTCTTCAGATCATACCATACCACTATCACTAGGACATTGAAATCAAGTCCAACATCAACCCACACCCAAAGACTACCATATCCACCATATCCATCTTCCATCATTTCTCTCATTAGTTTCCAGTCTGACAACCTTGATCAAGCACATATTTATCACCTAATTAGGCCCAACCACTTGATATAGAACCTCAGAATACCCCTTCATACCAAACCTCAGCTCCAAATTCCAATATCTTACACCCTCTTCACCTTAGATTCCATTATAGTATTTTTTTATAAAGATTCCATTCTAGTAATTCTAATTAGTTAATACTTTGAGACCCTAAAACTACCCATTCAACAAACCAATGACCCAACATCTACCATCTTACAAAATCTCATGTCAAAGCTCCTTCATTTGACCCATGAACCAACCCAGATTTCATTTCAAGACCCTTGATTGGCCAATCAATTTTAGCCTTAAACCCTTTAACCTTTATATAACCACATCAACCATCCTACCCACCTGATTGAAAATCATTCCTTTTCATCAAGTCCCATTCAACACACCAATGACCTAATATCTACCATCCTATGAAATCTCATGTCAAAGCTCCTTCATTTGACCCATGAACAAACCTAGATTTCACTTCAAAACCCTTGATTGGCCAATCAATTTTAGCCTTAAATCCTTTACGTAATCACGCCACCCATCCTACCCACCTAATTGAAAATCATTCCTTTTCATCAAGTCCCAGACACCTTAAAATACCTTCCACTAAATTTCACTCAAGATCTTCCCCATTTGACACCCTAACAAGACAAGATACCATTCCAGTCTTCCTCATTAGCCAAATTGGAGCTTTAAATCTGCGCTTGTATGACTACTCCATACCAATCAGACACTATTAGTGAACTCAAATAACTTAAAAATATCCACCCATTAAATTTCATCCAAAATCTCTCTAATTTGACCCTTCATCGAACTAAGATTCCATTCTAGCCTTCCCCATTGGCCAAAAACCTGAAACTTTAATTCTACCCATATGACACGCCTTTAAACAAATCAAACATCACCACCAAGTTCCAGATGCCTAAAACTATCCGCCCATCAAGTTTCATTAAAAACATCTCTTATTTGACCTTGATTAAACCAATATCCCATTTTGGTTTCTCCCATTGGCCAAAACCCACCAACCCCTATATCCCCCTTACCCAAGTCTTGCTAAAGTACTACCTCTTGTTTCCTTTCACTTTCTTTACATTGTTTACAATTTGTTCTGTAATTAGTTTCTTACTTGTACCGCTTAATACAACATTCAAGTAGCTCTTGACATGTTCTTCCTAATGAGCTTCATTATGAGATAGTGGCCATGTTTACTAAAGAATTATAAACTACTACTACAAAAAAAAAAAAGAAAACACACATTTAATGTCATTTTACTCATTTGGCTACTGATTGAACATAACAAACTTAACGAAACTCATCCGATGTCATCTCATTGCTGAACGGTACCAAACATTGGTTAGAAAAAAAAAAATAAAAAAGATTATATTCTCCAAAAGACAATTGCAAATTAGTTTGCAAATAAGTACCTCCGACGTTCAATACGTTGTGCCCAAAATATTCATTCAGATGGAAGCGACATTAATCTAGTAAGGCTTTTTTTTATTGTGAATAGCAGCAAAATATAACTGCCCAACAGGGCATCGTAGTCATGAAAAAAAAAGAACAAAACTGCCGAATCGGTTGTTTGAATCAGCAAGGGTTTGGTTCAATTTCAATATACTATAGAATATTTAATCTAGCAGAGCTCTACCGAACAGAACATTATGAATAAGAAGAAGAACGAAAAACCGAAGAAGAACGAAAAGAGGGATTTACCGGTTCGTCTCTCACAGTCTCACCCTTAATCCTTTGCGCAGCTTTGTCTTCGTCTTTTCCAGCGCCCATGTTAATTATAAAAGTACTAGTGGGACCCGTACGATGCACCGGCTTTATTGAGTGAGTGAAATAATGAAAATACACAATATTAAATATATTTTTTCTATTTTCCATTGTAATACTTCTTGAAGATTATTAATAATTAATATATATTTTCAAAAAGTAATTTAAATGGTTATATTTTTTTAATTTTTGGTAATTTATAATATTTATTGGAAATCATGTTAATCCAGTGTTAGTAATGTTTTGGATAATTTTTGGTAATGATGACAAAATTATTGGTACTTTATTTTTTGGTTATCTTCTTGGCTAATTTCTATTCGTTAAATGTAATTTTCTGTGATTTATAGCTTAAATTATACTTAAATAAATAATTTAGATATAACTACTTTTCATTAAAGTTTCAAATTACTTATAGTTTCAAATATAATTTCAATAATATTTAAAATACAATTTAAATTATACTGTAACTATTTAATTATTGTTAATTAATAAATACTGTAATTGTTAATACTGTTTTTTAATAAATACAATATTATTGATACTTTATTTTTGGTTATCTTCTTGACTAATTCATTAAATGTACTCTTCTGCTATTTATAGCTTAAATTATATTTAAATATAATTACTTTTAATTAAAGTTTAAAATTTAATTATATTGCTTACAGTTTCAAAATAATATTTAATATTTTTTAATAAATCAAGTATTTTAATAAACATTGTTAATTAATAATATTACAATTATTGAAAATACTGTAAAATATGGTTAATTATTAATACTGTAATTATTAAAAATACTGTTAATATTAAATACATTATTTTTTTATAAATAATGTTAATTAATTGAAATACTGTAATTCTTAAAAGTACTGTATTAATTAAAAATACTGTTAATTAATAAATTCAGTATTTCAATTAATTAACAATTTTTATAAAAAAATACTTAATAAATTCAGTATTTCAATAAATACTTTTAATTAATTAATAAGAATATAATTATTAAAAATAATGTATTAATTAAAAGTACAGTTAATATTGGTAATGAATAAAATACTATAATTATTTAATTACTATTAATTAATAAATATTGTAATTGTTAATACTGTTTTTTAATAAATTATAGCTTCATTATATTAATTATTGTAATTGTTAATACTATGAAATACAATCATTTAACATACTATATGTAGAATTCCACCTATGTTGAAAATCTAATACAATTTTTTTTATATTTTATCCCTTATTTATTACATAAATATTTATATTCTTGTTTTCTTATTTTAGAAGTTCTAATATTCTTGTTTTCTTATTTTAAAACTTATTGTACACAAATTTAAAATGTGATATGCACATTTAATATGGAATAATTTTTCATTTAAAAATGGTTTAATTGAGATTTAAAAATATTTATAGTTGAACCATTATTACTAGCATAATCAAAACTAATAGAAAGAATTTTGCTTTCAATATGTAAACTATTTAAAAATCTTAAATCAATAACATTTCCTTTACCAAAAAAAAACAATAAAATGCCCTATGACACAAATATAACTAATATTATATTTTGAAGTCCAAATATTAGATGTAAATGAAATTTCATCATAATTAGAAATTGGCAAAGTAAAAATAAAATGTTGTTTATATAAATAAAAAATTTTAAAGCATATATTGCGATAGTATATTAGAAATTTTTTTGAATTGGAGATTTATGGATTGTTGTAAATACTTTTCAAGGCTAGGTCTTCAACTAATAAAAGGGTTGTTTAATATGTATAATATACTTTGCTAGTTCTTGCCTCGTTTTTTGTGAATATTGAAAAATATCAAAAAGCTCACACCTAGTTTGTGTTTGATTATCATTATTATTTTTCTTAAATGACTGGCCATGTGCCTACATAAGGAGCTAAGGCCACCTTTGTTACTATAACTAAAATCACTTTTACATTTTGTTTTATCATTTTCTCTCAACATTTTCTTAAACATAGTCTAGACTTCATTAGTTTTTTCTCTTGCCACCCTAACATAGTCTAGACTTCATTAGCAACAATACCAATCACACCCATATCAGTGGTATTGTAGTATGACTAGACATCATCTAGACTAAAGCTATAAAGAAAGGAATTTTGAGAGGAATTAATCATTTTAAAATTTTGAAATATTGAAACCCTATAAATGAAAATTAATTGCCACTTACCAATCTTGCGATGCAGACTCCCAACTTGATTTCAACTGATGAAACTTTCAAATCTTCTAAATTGCTAACTTATGACACTTGAGCAAACATTTTCCTTGTTGAAATATGAATAAAATTGAGAATTATGCACTGGGAAGCAAGAAACAAAGAGATTATAAGAGTGTATGAGAGAACACATGAGCATATGTAAGTACATGAAAGTATGGGAGAGTATGAAAATTGGTGTGTTTTTTCCCAAATAGCCTATCCCCAAAGGGGTAAATTGGGTACTAAAAATGATTTCCCCCAACTAATGCTTTCTAAAACTAATAAATGCAATGGTGGAGTGGAAGGTTGTGTGTATGTGTGCTAATCAATGCAATGCAAATAACAATCAAATAAATAAAGATTACTAAATAAAGTAAAAGATTGCAGGAAAGTAAATTAGTACACAAAGACTTTAACAGAGGTTTGGTCAAACCTAGGTATCTTCTCCTCATGCAACCTCCTTAGAATTCCACTAAACCCAATTGGACTTCTAGGTGCCTAAAAGACCATAACCAATTAAACTTATGAGTGTTAACCAACTTGAACAATTGACTTACAAGTCATCATTCTTAGTCATTTCTTACCTCAGCCAAGTTGAATGTGATGATGTCTAGTATGGGCTTAGTGGTATCACCAATTCCAAGGCTTATCAACTTTGCATTGTGGTATTTTTTAAGGTGTTCATCTTTAAGCATGTCAATCTGTTCTCGATTCCATGCAAACACAATTGGTAAGAAAGATATGTTTAGATGGTTTCAAATAGTCGGAATTTGAGTGGGAAGATGAAAACCCATTTCTGGGAGCATATACAACTGGGCCAGATGAACTTGGACTGAGCTGATCATAGCATAGAAATGGTCTTTGGGCAAACAAAGGCTCATTCCTGTTAGTGCTAGGCCAAGGTTCAAAGAATCGATACTAGACCTCTCTCAAGATTTGTAAACAAACAAATATGAATGTTTTCTAATCATTTTTTTTTTCTTTCTGTTTTATCATTATAGAATTATTTATTGTTTGGGAGTGGAATTGGATGGAGCTGTTATAGCAAATCTGCTACAACATGACCTGGTCCATCTATAACAAATTTATATTGGATTGGGTTGGATTAAGCCAATATCTGGTCCATTGATATAAGATAAGAATATACGTGTCAATGGACCAGGTTTGGGTTGAAACCAATCTAAATCAACATGAATTTGAACAGATTGGACGGGTTCGGACATTGAATTGGATCGGTCCAAACTGGTCCAAAACATTCATTGGATTGGATTAGACCTGGTCCATTTATAATGGACTCACATCGGACTGGATCAGATTGGACCAAATCCAGCCCAATTGACACCCCTACTTACATTTCTTTCCAAAGAAATGTAATATGTTTGTCAAATAACAATAAGCAACTGTATGAATGTGCTAGTCTGGGTCCATTAGCCCAATAGAGCTAAAGCCTATGTGTCATAAAGTCGTTGGCTGTTTTTAGTTTGAATTCTACCTTATTGACTTGAATAAATAGAGAAAAAAACCAACCTTTGGAGATTACACTACTTAAGTAGGGGAAATTGGGTAGGTCGGAAGCACTTGGATATTTTCTTTTTCTTACTTGAGGAAAGATATATGTGAATTTTTTGGTGAAACAAAAAGATCTCTAAACAACATGATCTACTAGGTTTTACTATCATATAAAGTAAAACTTGTAAGGGAAAAAGTGCATAAGAGAATAATAGGAATTTCATGTTTTAGTGGATTTCTTTAACTATCAGAAGAATAAAGGGCTGCAATAAGAGAAAAAGATACAGAAAATCCCAAGTGGGAATGGAGCCACAACAACAAAAACCAACCTCTCCCCCTTACATAAATATTTACAGATGGGAACAACATGTAAAAGCCTATTTCTTATTATTAAGGGTGAGATATTCTCATCATTCATATGTGCTAGCTGACCATGTTCTTGTATTGGTATTGATTGTAGAATTAGAGAAGAGTATTCAGAAGAAAATATATTCTTCACTTTGTAATTTGGACAACTCTCTCTCTTTTTGATTTTCATGTCGAATAAATGGAATTGTTTGCTTGTATGTTATGCAAAAGAGCTATAAACAAAGGAATTGGTGTGGACAACATGCATTATCTTCCCCCTTCATATTTGGGATAATGTGGTTTTCCTTACGGTAAAGCAAAACTTGTTACAAAATAAGTATGGGAAGATGTGATTCATGCAATATATCCTCAAATATAATGTTAGGCATACTATCATACACTTATTATTAGTAGTTAATTACTCATTATCCACGTCCTTAGAAACTTAGAGATATTGGTTCCAAAGGTCTAGAAATCATTTTCTTAGGCATCCATTCTTAGATTTTCTATTGTTAAGTTCACAAATGAGTCTATGAACACCTAAGAGCCAACCTTATTACTAGTCATTGGTCTTTAAGGTTAGGCTAACCAAATTTTACTAGTTTAAGCCCATAGAATGCATTTTCATGCATATGATTTTATCAAGTCCTAGAAACATGACACACAATGTAAAACTTGGAACTTAATGCTCCTTTTTTTTCAGTTATTTGGTAGCAACCATGTTTTTCTTTGGAGAGTCATAAGTAGATTGTTAGCTTTCTAAAGCACTTCATTTAAACTTTGATTCCTTTTAGTGATTTATTCGATATTTTGCCTTAATGGAATTAACTTGGTACTTTGATTCCTTTTAGGCCCCGTTCGTTTTTCGATAAATTACTTACTTACCTGGATAAATGCAATTACCTGAGTAAGTTTTTCCTGGGAAACATTTATCCGGGTAAGTACATTTACCCATGTTCTTTTATTTCTCATGTAAATAAAGCAATGGTCATTTTAGCCATAAAAATCCATTATTAAAAATGACATTTTTGTCCTATTCAAGTGTTGACAACTTTCCCCCTAAGTGGAAAAGTTATTTACCCACCTAGGAGATGGGGTAAATGATAGAAAATAAACTTTCACTAATCCCCACATAAATATGAAAAAAAAGAACATGAGATTCTTGGTCAATGGGAACCAAAATCCCACTTATCAACTTTCCTCCTCTCAAAATCCAAAAAAAGAACACCCCCTCAGAGATTTATTCGCTATTTTGGCTTAATAGGATTAACTTGGTACTATTGCACACTTAGCACATTCACTAGTACTCTCAATGAATTTGTTATCATCAAAACATATAGGGCCAACATTGTGTTAAGAATGCAGGATGGTAAGGGTATTTATAGGAGTTAGAAATAATTCAATTAACCAAAATACCCTAAAAGTAGATCAATGTTGTGTCTAGCTTTTTTCTCTTTTTTTTATGTTTTTCAGATTTTGGTTTTTTAATTATACATAATTCCATGTTATATGCATTAGTGGCGAATCACAAGCAATGAGGGACGTGAACACCCTCATACGTATCTCATGTATCTGTGTGTGACTCATTAAAGCACCAATCAATGGAAAGAGATGATTCGCCTTTCAAAATACCACCATAATTAAGACATTTTAGAAAAAAAAATGTTAATTTCGTTATGGAATCTCAAAACATTGCATTATCAGCTCAAAAATCACCGTGGAGCAAAACTTGAAGCTTAAAAAGAGAACCACCATTGGAAATAAAAACAAATATAATGATCTCTCACCTCTCTTCTATTGCTATTGCCATGGGTAAAGTGGTAAACCATAGGAAGGATTTTGAAGGAAGAGAGTTGGAGATGTCAAGCACAGCTAGTTAGGGTCATACAATGCAAAGCTGTGGTGGCTTAATAAGTAGGGAAGCAATTGGTGATCAAAGAATTGGATGGGACTCCCTATATGCAATTAAGATCAAATGAAGACCCTCTTCACTTTTTAGTACCATACTAGGGATGTTAATGGACCAACTTTGGACTAGACCCATCCAAACCAAAATCAAATTGGATGGATTGGATGGACCAACAAGACATTGATTTGGACCAGTCTAGACTTAATGGTCCAAAGTATATTTATTGGATTGGATTGGACCTGGTCCATTTGTAATAAATTTATATTGGATTGTGTTGGATTGAGCCAATATCTGGTCCATTGATAGATGATAAGAATATACGTGTCAATAGACCAGGTTTGTATTAGAATTCATCTAAATTAAAACAAATTTGAACAGATTATACAGTCCATACATTTTAAAATGACCAAAAATATTCATTGGATTGGACCTGGTCCATTTGTAATGGACCAAATTCAGTCCAATTGACACCCCTACCTTCTACTCTTCTTGATGAAGTTTACGTCCTTAGTTGTAGGATCTCTATATGTTGCACATCTTGTTTGTATGTTGTTAATTTCTGTTTTATATTTCATTGGTTTCTACGGTTTTAAGGACATGGTTCCACTTTGAATGTTACAAAACCCAAAAGGGTTTCAACATTTGCTATTTCAGACTAGGGGCTCTAGGATTTGCTGCAAGTTTCTCATTCTCTTCTTGTGTAATATAGTTTGCACTTGGTCTTCATGCTTTGTGAAAGAGAAAAGAGTGTTGTAAGTTGTAACATATTATTTAAACATGAATGTGAAAATGGTTTAAAATGTCACCCACAAAGTAAGGACTTCAACATTTGTTGTTCCATTGTATTCCATTTTATGGTTTCAGAGGAACTTGCATTCTTAATCAGGTGAGGAAAAGGAAGTTAATGGATTGTTGTTGACCCATTTCCAACAACCCAAAGACTATCAGAATCGGGATCTGCTCCGCATGGGAGATGTTCCCGATACATGGTGGGATGTGCCTATAAAACCGGTGTAGGTTAATAGCCTATTGATAATATATGGAAAATGAGTAATATAGAGTATCATATAATACTATTATATAATATAGAATATAGTGCATAATATTATATAATTATTTAGTATTTGTAAATAAAAAAAGTTTAGTAATAGTTAACTTGCTAAACTTGGTTGACTTAATTAGAAATATATTAATATATTAGTGAATAGAGAAAATCCAAAAAAGTAACTAAATACTTAGCTAACTATACATGTTTATGGGCCGGGCTTCGGGTCTGACTTACACTATGTTCAGTTTGGTCTTCAGGCCGGGCCCCATTCTAATTTTGGCAAAAGCCAAGCCTGACGCCAGCCCATAAACAGGTTTATAACTAACTAATAAAATGATTAACTAATTAACTAATTCACTAATTCACTTAACTTGCTAGACTTAATTAATTTAATTAGAGATAAGTAAAATCATTAATAAATAGATAAGATATGTTAGTAAAAAATGGAAAAATGCTTCAATTGTAAGAGGTTCGTTGAAATTTATAATTGAGGAAAACAAGCATGAAATTTTAAAAGAAAAAATAATACATAAACATCTAACAATAACAAAATTAGAAACTAAGATAAATAAGTAAACAAAAATGTAAAATAATGTAGATTTATTAATTTGAAAAGTCATTTTCGCATGGGTCCCAATTAATATTCTTATATTTGTCCAAATATTCTCGATTTGGAGAATAATAATGGCATAGTGATGCTACCAACAAACGCTCCCAACACTTACCAACAGGCCATTGCACTGTACAATGGAAACATTTTATGTCTAATTGGACCAACATGTTTCAATACCCTATCAATTTGATTTAACACCATACATCTCACTATAAGATTGAGGTCCACCATAAAAATGAAATCTGTCATGTACGAGATAAAGGGTGGTAGGGTGTTGGGGGATATATTGTTGGAAGCTTTTGATTGGTAGCAGATCTGAAGTGTGTTAAGCGAATCTGCTCTCGAAAGTCAAAACGGTTTTTCATCCTATCCGAGTTATACTCGGCAAGGTATTCAAGGTTTTGTGTTAGGTAAATTTGATAAAAAGCGGAGGATAAAGTGGTAGTTTGACAAAAGTTGTATCTTTTATGACTAAAATGCCCATCGTACCATCTAAAACCCTGAGAAGTTTGAGTAGGCAAATCGTAGCCGTCGACTATTCTCTCTGATCTGATTCTAGGGTTTATATTTATATACCTTCGCTCTCTCTGCCGTCGTTCTCCCTCTCCGCGCAAAAAACCTAGCTGCACATCGAGGAACAACAGCAATGGTGAGAACCACGGAACTAGATGTCTTTATGCTCTTCACTTGTGCCTTTCCAAACGCATTTACTTGTTCTTTCAATTTCCTTGGATTTTATCTACGTTGAATCTTGTAATGTTCTACTGTTATTCTGAATGATCCATGTTACATGGTTTCTGGTTTTTACGGATCATATATTTGGTTATCAGCTTTTAGACGATTACTAGTTGTATTATACGCGTTAGATTTGAATTGCTTTTTTCACCTAGATTGCTTTGCAATTTTAGACGATTACTGTGCATATTTCTGAACCTAACTTCATTGGCATGAGTCTTGGCATGCTTGCCCACAAAATATTTCTGTGTGTAACCACATTTGTATGATTTATTTGTTTAGAGGTCTGATGTTTTCCATAGCGTCTTCTATAGTCATAGTGCTTGCTTAGAGAGTTGAGCTTGGCTCAGTTTGCGAAGAGTGCAAATATGTACAGAACAGATACAAATACCATTTATAAGGTTTTGCACTGCACATATTTGAATTTACACTCTTCCTAAACTGAGACTGACGAAACGGGTCTTTCTTTTACTTGCTTTATTGTTCTCATGTGTGGATGTGATGAGATGCATTTATGCGTTTATCTTTTCTAGCTTTTAGACTCAAACAACTCATTTTTGCATTATAGGCCTTTGTCAAAGCTCATAAGACAAAGGCGTACTTCAAGCGTTTTCAAGTTAAATACAAAAGAAGGAGAGGTATTGTGTTTTGATTCCATGGTTCAATTCATGGCATTTAGTGCTTACCTAGTTTCTCTCTCATGTATTTGATATCGTTGATATGCAGAGGGAAAGACCGACTACAGGGCGAGGATTCGCCTGATCAACCAGGACAAGAACAAGTACAACACCCCAAAATATCGTTTTGTTGTACGATTTGTATCCTTAAAGATATTTGTGTATTATGTTTATGCCATTATTAGTAATCCTTTTTGTTCCTGAGTCAAGCATTACTGATGTGATATGAATCTTAGTCACTTTTGTTAGGTCAAGATATTCACATTGCTAGGTGATGCTTTATATCTTTTCCCTTGGGGGAGCTGTAGTCTCCTTGTATGATTCACACAAATCATCCAAAAAAACTGAAGAATTTCAACTTTCCAGTTTAATTTGCAAACCGACTTTGAGAAGCTTTACCACCTTTGTTTATTTGGATCACATTATTTCTTGTTGGCAAGAGCTGAGCTTGTATACAATTTGGCAAGTTTGTGGTTTTTGTTCAGTTTGGTTGAGTTAATGTATCCCTATTGATAAACATGGGGTATCTTGTTTTCTATGTTTTCAATCTTAACACTGCTCTTAGAGTAACAAACATATTATTGCACAAATAATATCTGCCAGTATTGCTGGTGATATGATCCTTGCTGCAGCTTATTCTCATGAGCTGCCACGCTATGGTCTTGAAGTTGGTTTGACCAATTATGCAGCAGGTGTGAGATCCTTTGCCACCAAAAAGTATTTTTGTCTTAAATTTCTTTGTTTTGTTATAGTTTGATATAGGTATTCTAATAGTTAACATGATTCCTAGCTTACTGTACTGGACTACTCTTGGCTCGCCGAGTATTGAAGATGCTTGAAATGGAAGATGAATATGAAGGCAATGTGGAGGTATTTAACATTAGTTATGGTTTTGTATTTTTTCATTACATCTCTTCTCAATAAAGTGGTATACTATGATCTCGTGTGCCTTCTGTTAGGCAACTGGGGAGGATTATTCTGTAGAACCCACAGAGAACAGGAGGCCTTTCCGTGCTCTTCTTGATGTTGGGCTGGTTAGAACAACTACTGGAAACCGTGTTTTTGGTGCTCTTAAGGTAAATACCATAGCCTGCTATTGTTTATTAGTATTCTGTTATTCTTATTTCTTTATTACATGTACATTGTGTTGTCTAAGGGACTAGTAGTTATCCATATATCTGTTATACATTTGAGTTTTTGTCTGGGTGGTCATGTTTATTTTATTCTGTTGATCATTAATATTGTTCAATTGCACAAAAGAAACATACTCAAGGAAACTGTGAACGACTTCTGTATTTATCCAAAGAGGTAAAATTTGGATTATTTCTTTTGGGTTTGTTGACCATAATCCTAGTCATTTCTTAATGGATAAGTTTTAACAGCGTAGCTTCCAGCAGTGTCTTATCATTTCAGAATGGTTGATCACGTTCTCATCCTGTTATTAGACTGACAAAGCCCCCAGCATCCGCACGCTATGTGCTCATATTGTTTTGTACAATTGGCTTTGCCAAGGGGATTAGGCTATGGTTTTGCCATAGATTCCTTGGATTAGTGCCTGTTCTAACCATATGTGAAGTTCCATGAGATTTGAAGCTTCCATGAGAACATTGTTGTGGGTAGAGAATAAAGTTGTTTGATCATGTTGTCGTACAAGCTCAAGTATTTTAAACGTGCCTTGTTTTTTCTTGTAATTTATTGCGTTCATTCATTTATCTTGTTTGGGACTTGGAACCGAAACTATTGTTTAGAGTTTAGCATTTTGATGAATTGTGCAACAGATGAAGGATCAGTTGAGTTCATTTTTCAAAATGTGATGGTTTTGCACATTGATGTCAGGGAGCATTGGATGGTGGACTAGACATTCCTCATAGTGACAAAAGGTTTGCTGGCTTCAAAAAGGAGGACAAGCAGCTGGATCCCGAGGTTCACCGCAAATACATATATGGTGGACATGTTGCTTCATACATGAGGGTGAGGCCAAGGAAAAAAATTAGAAAAAAGACTACAAGGCACATGGAGGGCTTTTAAATAGTATTAGGATCAAAGGAATGGGATTGAACCCGGGGTTATTTAGTTCAGAATTTGACTTTTCATCTGAGTTTGCCAATTGATTATTGACAGGCATTGATGGAAGACGAACCAGAAAAGTACCAGTCTCACTTCAGTGAGTACATCAAGAGAGGGATTGAGGCTGATAACATAGAAGAGTTGTACAAGAAGGTCCATGCAGCCATTCGTGCTGACCCTACCATTAAGAAGTCTGAGAAGGAACCCCCCAAAGAACATAAGAGGTAGGAGGGTCCTCACTTCTGTTTTCCTTTGCCCCTTGTTTTCATTAGCGCACATTTTCTGTCGTATTTTAGTCAGTAGAGCATAGTAGTGCTATTGAAATTGAACTCATTAGAGTTTGGTGAAAACAAGGTTATTGAGGTTTCTAGTCAATCAACTCAGCTTGATAAAATTGCTGCTTTGTGTTACAGGTATAATTTGAAGAAACTGACATACGAGGAAAGGAAATCTAAGTTGATCGAGCGATTGAATGCTCTCAATTCGGCAGCTGGAGCAGATGATGATGAAGATGAAGATGAAGATGAGTGAAATTACCTTATAAAATTTTAGAAGAAAGTTTTGGGTGTTGTACATCTAGTTTAGTGCTTCCTAGAGTTCGTTTTGGATCAACGTTTATATTTCTTTTCGTTTTGGATTTTAGAATGCTGGCCCGTTTTAGAACTTTACAACTTCGTCAATCACATGCAACTTGCAGTTTCGATTTAGTAATAATTATGTTATTTTTGCCAAAAGTTTTTTCATTGCTTCATGGTTGCAACCTTTGGTAACAGTAATATTGACGACGTCCCAGAAAAATATATTTAAACCATTAAACAAGGTGAGAATGAGAGGAAAGAAGAGAAATGAGTCAGACGGTGATTGTGAGGGCTGTATCCTTTTAATAGCAATCCGCATGGAAGTATTTGGTGTTGACAGTGTGGGTCCTCGTACCTAAGGATGTCAATGGACGGTACATCCCAGGACCTGGTCTTCGAAATGAATTTATATTGGATTTGATTGGATTGAGCCATTGTGTGCCCATTGATAGAAGATAAGAATATAGTTGTCAATGGACCAGGGCTCTGAATTGGACCAGTCCAAAAGGGTCTAAAAATATTCATTGGATTCGAATTGGTTCATTTGTAATGGATTCACATTGGATTAATATTGGATTGAACCAAATCTAGAGGACTCCGGTGGTGGTTGATGATAATGAAGTGTGGGGTTCTACTTCCTCTTTGACAGTCCTTTGTCTCATTATTCATAACAAATATAGGGATATTTTTGAAGGCACACAACGACTTTTTTGCATTCCTTAATGGAATCAATTTTTCCATAATCCATACTATCCTTTCAAATATTCTCTACTTGGACAACAGAACCTGAGGGCAAGGTTCAAAGTATCAACACGGACCGTTTTATTTATTTATTTGTGGAAACTGGATCAGGGTTCGGTTTAAGGCCTGGCCACCCTATGAATAGGCATACAGGAAAGCCATTGGCATGATACGATACTTTAAACCTTGCTCGGGCGTATAACTTCAAGCCTTGCCTGAGGGTGCTCCTCTTTCTCTCTCTCTCTACCATGGCAGAACATTGTCCAGCATCACCAAACATTTCCAGAGGAATGATGTTCTTTGGTTATTTTTCATGGTTAAGGTCAGAATTATTTTCTACAACTTAAACGAGGAAAGAAAAAGAAATGCATTCATCAAGCTACTAATGCACCAATACTAGCCAGCAAGAGATGACATGAATGGTAATGAACCACATTCTCTACACGATAAAAACATAAAATTACCTTAGATATGCAGATTAGCCACTTGCATACTCATAATTATCCATGAAATTCAGGACAGAACAACCAAATGTAGGAATTATAAAGTAATATCCAATGTTCTTCGGTTGGATCCATTACAGTGAAAATCACTTTTTTTTTTTTTTATTTCCGCAATTGAAAACCAAGCATAGCTAGTTATGTAACAATCTGATTTTAGAATTTGAAGAGAACCAATCAGCTAGCGCTGTCAATGGACCAGATATTGGTCTAATCTGATAGGGTCCAGAATGAGTCCATTATAGATGGACCGGGCCCAATCCTATCCAATAAATACTTTGAACCATTTTGAATTGGTCCAATTCAATGCTTGGACTGTTCAAACTGTTTAAATTGGTTTTGATTTTGATTGGGTCCAATCCAAACCTGGTTTATTGATACCCATACTCAACTTATGTCAATGGATCGGATATTAGTTCAATCCAACCCAATCCGATATAAATAGATTATACGAATCAGGTCCAATCCAATCCAATAAATACTTTGAACTATTAAAGTCTGGACTGGTCCAATTCAACAAGTCTTGTTAGTCTGTTCTGTCCGATCAAATTGATTTTGATTTGGATGGGTCCAACCCAAACCTGGTCAAACACACTAAAATTCAAATGATCAAGCGGTATTCAAAGACTTACCTTGTTAAACCAGGAATCGTGAAGGATATCAAGGCTATGCTTGCGGACAATGGTGGGACGGTGGAATTAAGTAGTCTCACCATTGATGCATTTGCTACCATTTGATGCTTAAAGTGTTTGATGAAGGATGAAGAGAGAGAGAGAGAGCTTTTTCTACATTTTCTTTTCTTCATTTTTGCCAAAAGATGTTAGGAAATAATTATGGTCCTACATTCAAACCTGAATTGGCATGGACGCCCCACAGCCCATCCCGGCCATGCTGAGATGTGCATGTGGGTCGCACTGAGAGCCAATCTGAACTCTTCAAACCCCATGTAAAAGCCTTGAATAAAACCTCTTTTTTGTCTCTCTCTCTCTCGGACAGATGATACTGGATCCCAAGCTGGATATCAGGTCTGCACTATTAGACAAGAACCCTACCAATTTATCATTAAGGCTGTGTTTGGTTTGAAGAAAAAGCTTAAGAGTACCACCACCATCATCTGGGAATATTTTTTTTGGTGAATTTAGGAGAATAAAAGTTCACTTATAAGAGATTCTCTCGAGGTTTTGAAAAATCGTGATAAATTTAAGAGAAATGCGAAAAAGTCATAATGAATTTTAGATAATATCTGACAAATATATGGGATGGTTGTCTCAATTCTGATTTAATGATCCAGATTCTACTGCTATTTTGATGATATATAACACATTCAACCTGAACGATTAGACCGGCGATCTGCCACCCAGGATCTCCCTGGTTCTTGGCTCAGCTGTTGGAGATTGGAATTAACTCGACATGGGCTCACAGCTTTGCCTTGAATATGAACCTTAGCTATTTCTTTGTCAGAAGTGACCCACAACTTTGTAACCTTATCTGAAACCAACCAATGAAATGCACCTCCCATTAAACCTAAAACTCTGAACACTATCCGCTTATTCATTCTATGCTGCCAATACAATGACTAGAAAATATGGCTTTCCATATTGAATCCACACAACCCAATAACTCCACTAAGCTATGGCCCATTCAATAACCCCAGTACCAGCAGCGGCAATACCCATCTCAACAAGCGCTAAGAATAAGACCCCTTTGCCATTTTTAGGGTTTCAAAGAAACTGGAGTGCCCATCAAGGTTCCACTCAAGATGTACAAGATAGAACCATCGACAGAAGGTATGCATTTCCATGCATGTTTGAGAGTGTAGGATTGATTATATTTTCATCTGTTTCCACATAAGGATAGATAAAAATGTAGCATGCCAGTCATAGTTCTACAAAAGTCTTTTACTGGAGATTTCCTGAGGTTGTGTTTGGTGCCATTTCTGTTTCTACCTGAATCGTTTTGGGTTGATCATTACAAATAGTAAGAGATTTTTATCTCACACCACATATGAGAGTTGCTTCAGTTATAATGATTAGTACAGTTGCTGTTTCGACTGAAATGTCAATTTCATGCATTTTTAGGGCATGCTTGTTTCAACTATAAACAGCCTCAAATAACAGTTGTATGCCAATTTGCACCGATCAACCTAAAATGTTTCAGGTAGAAAGAGTAATGGTAGAAAAGTAGTAGACTAACTATACAATTGAGTGAACAGACTTTACCTATCAATTATGCTCTGTTCCATTTTGCTTATGAGTTTACATAGAGGTATAGATGGGTTTTTTTGATGTTTATTGCACATGAGGAAAGCTATTATCATGCTTTTTCTGTATAAAACTGATTATTATATATGACATTGTAGCCTCTGGGCTATTGATTTTTTACATTGGCAAAATCTTGGACTACCAAAGATGAGAATACAAGTTTGAGTATGAAGGGCCATTTGATAGCATCTTAAGTGGCTGAACTTAGTTACTTATCACTTTGTCTTTTAGGCTCAGTTTGGAAAGATTACAAATACAAATGTGTATAGTACAAATAGATATAAAATAATACAAAATACCTGGTTTTGTAGACTCAGTTTGAATGAATACAAATACAAATATGTACAGTGTAAATACAGGTTTAGAAATACAAAATACAAGACTTTGCACTGTACATATTTGTATTTGTAGTCTTTCCAAATTGAGCCTTGGTGAATAAGTTATTTGGGAGGTTGCAAACTTCTTAGTGGTTGAAATTGAAGTTGGGTTGATTACCATACGATTGAATGTTTTTATTATTTAATTTGATCATCATTTTATAAACTAGAAAACAAAACAAGAAGTCATTCAATTCAGCCTTTTTGGCCATTTTTAAATGACACCTGAGATTCTGAGAGTAGCCACTTTGTGCAGAAAAAGAAAAATAATGTAAATTGAGTCTACCCATCCCAAGACCCTAGATAGCTGAGACCATCATTGGGTAATGGCCCTTAGAAACGACATGCCAACTTGAATTAACGTAGGGAATCGACATCTATATCATTGTAAGTTTTCATCATTGTCATCATCATCATCATGGGACTCCACGACGGAGGATAACCCATCTGCGATCCCCTTAACCCCAACCCTGGTGGTAGTGGGATTTGATCCTGGGTCTTTGCTTCAACAAGTCAGAGATCCTACCAACTGAGACACCAGTAATTGGTCATTGTAAGTGTATTTTGGTGGTTCCAAAATCGATACATATCACATATGGTACACTAGCCACCAATGCATTGTGATAACTTTGAACCTTGATCTGTATTACTTAAAATGAAAAACACTGAAGCTTTTCAATACTTGTGAAATAAAAAACCAAATATTACAAACATTGATTTCTGAGGAAGATTTAATTTAAGGTTTGACTTATTTTGGGTGTTCATGGCACAGGGTTTTCCTATGGGGCATAACTGGAACAGTGCTGAGCTTGAATGCAGGTGTTCAAAGTGCAAGCGCAGCCAAGAGGCCTCCACCGCCTCCACCACAGGAGAAGAAGGATCCTAATGTGAGTGGTGTTCAGGCAAAGGTTCTTGCTAGCATAAAGAGGAAAGAAGCCATGAAAGAAGCAATGGCCAAATTAAGAGGGAAAGGAAAATCCATTAACCTGCAACCCTCGGAATAAGCTAGACAAGAACTATATATATAGACTGAGTTCTTGTATTCCCACTACATTGTGGTTTATTTGATCCTTCTATGAGGAGGGAACTGTTTGTGAAGACCTTAAAACAGAATTGTCAAGGCTCTTCATTTTATTTTCCTTTATTTGGATTTTGGCATTTTCACTCACTGTAAGGTAATGTTGGGAGTAACTTATAAATCAAGTTACAAGAAGCTACGAGAAATAAGGAGAACATGTTACAATCTCAAGGCCCATCTGGGAAGTTGAGTTGGAGATTCAGTTAAGCTTGTTCAGCTGCTTTGAAGCGCTCCAGATAAGCTATTCAAAGAAGTTGAAGTGGTCAGCCCTTCAAATGACTGAATGATAGTTGATTGGACTCTCCATACCATTAAACAAACACAGCTTATAGGTTGTTAATTTGGTGTTAGGCCTATCTCAGAAAGCCAAAGCCACCACATTTCATCCCTACCAATGGGGTATTCATTAATAGTAATGTGAAATCTTGAAGAAAGATACATATACAGTACTAAAATTGGCATCTTAGAGGAGGTGATGGTATGACCCAAGGCCCAAAATTCTATGATTATTTATAGAGATGATCATTTTTGCTTGGGTCCATATTGCCTAGCTTGATCCATTCTGGAAATTTAAGATAGGGTTGGCAATATTTTACACAACATGTGAACACAAATCAAACATGGCATGAAGTTAGTGGGGTTGGGATATTACCTTAATAGTATTGGTATCAAAATTGAGTTAAACTATTTAATAAGATTAATAAATGTGTCAATTTCGGGTTGACCCACTTTAACTCGAAAATGACTTGTTTATGATCCAATTTTTTTAGTATTAGATCATGTATGCATTTTAATTTTGTTGGAAAATAGTAAATAAGGCAGAATGAAACTTATCGGTAATCACTTTCTAAACCGGGAACTTGCAGTAGCGTAGTGTTGCAGAACAATGAAATAGAGAATTTGCAGAAAGGAGGGTTGAGTTGTGCCCCTTGGTCACTCTCTTTAAAACCGCATTTGCCCCTACGGTGCAGCCGGGTGATCGCAAATCAGTTGCCAAGATAAAACAACCCACAGGCCACTGGTAGGCGTGCACTCGCTTACCAAACCTTCGCGAACCACAAAGAATGATGCTTAGATTGACAAAGAAGACAGACAAGAGAAGATTGTCAAATGTATTATGGTGTATAAGACTAGGTCGACCAATACTCCTTTTATAAGGTGTTCTCAGTCACCCGAATGGACACAAAAGTGTCCTTTTAGACAAATGTCTCTTTAGAATAGTGCACCTGTTCGAAGAGACATAGAGGGGGAGAGATGCAAACCAAAAAAAGAAAATGATTTAAAAAATAAATTTGAATTTAAAAATCAAACATTTAGTTTGGTTTAAAACAAAACCGATTCGTTGTAACACACGTGCACATGTACTTGCACCCCGACCCAACTCGGCTCGGCGTGTGCACGTGTAAAAAGCACCCTCAATCCCCCTCACATGCATGGGAATATATATAGTGCTTTCCTCGTATGGGTCCCTACCCATAGAGAGAGCAAAACTATAGATATACTCCACCTCAACTCTTTTCCCAAGCAATGTGGGACAAGGAGTCTTCACATGCGCTCAAGAGAGGGAAGAGGAAAAGAAAAAACTCAAAATACAAGGGAGGGAGGAGAGAGATTCTTGAAATTTTGAATCTCCCTCCAACAAAATTTAATTTAGATATATTATTTAATGGGATCCAAGTCAGGAAACTTGCTTTTGAAATTTTCCATATGGGACTCAATCAGGGTTTGAAAAACCTCATCTTCCTCTATTGGCTTAAGAGATGATGTGAGGCCGAACTTATCCCACCACTTAAATTCAATGATTCTATCAATGGATGAAGGCATCCACGAAACATCCAAATGGTAACTCCATTTTAGTATCCAAGGGAGGAAATATGTTTTGAAGACTTCAAATTGTTTTATAGGTTCAAATTCTAAATAGCTTCGTCCCTGCCCAAAATTTGAATATTTATCTAATAATTCTTTTTGGTAGAAGATATTGTCTGAAGCTTCCCACGTAGTCCACCAAACATAGACCCAATCTGAATATGGACCCTTAAACTCTTCAAAGAACCGGATGAACCACGAGTGTTTGAAGATAAAATTCTGAACCAAAAATACCTTACACCAAACATCTTGATAATCCCAGTAATTTAACATTCTAGGTCTCCTATCTATTGGCTTGGTGATGGATCTGGGTTTGTTAGAGTCACTCCATGATGCCTTCATCATGAATTTAACTATTACTAGCTTTGGATAAGCTATTTCTGATTTACTGGGGTATCTGTAGTAGTGCTGAATTACGGTAGAATCCGTATTAAGGAGAATTTTTTCATATTATTTTTAGTTTTTATTTAGACTACATATTGTGAAATGATTACCATCAAGGTATTCTAAGGTAAGACATTGGAGGGCACCCTCTAGATTTACATGAGAGGTTACCGCAATTACACTACAAAAAAAAAGACTTAGCGGCAGTTTTTAGGGCTGTTGGTACAAATAGAAAATGCCACTAAGCAGTTAATAATAAACTAACAGCCGCTATAAATCGCTTCTTAAAGGCATTTTTTTTTTCATATAACCTATTTTTTTAATTTTTTTTCTAATTTGTTTCAAATACCTTGTTTTCTCTATATTCACTTAAATTGAAATGAAATACAAAAATAAAAAAAACATCAATTACAAATAAAATTTAAGAACATATTCTCCATTCAAAATATTTGAATCACAAATACATCTTAATTTAAATTTGATAAATTCTTGGCTTTTACAAGAAATATTCTCTTCACAATGATTTTGACCTTGTTTTCTGTCACTTTTACATCTGGGTCGTATGCATTCTTTTCTGTAAATCAAGCCTTGATGGACTCGTATTTTTCGCCCATTGAACTACACCTTTCAGTTTCTAAAACTGGATGTAGCGTATGCTGTTGGCAAAGAAAGCATTTGTAGATGGATCTGGTGTTGCCGTGTCACTTTGCATCTCGGCTTTCATTAACTCAACCAGGTCCTAGATTGCTGCACTAGAAATCTGCTGATTGCCCTTTTCAAAGAAGTAGAGGTATCTGAAATTACATAAGAGCAGGATTACCAAGTCCATTATACTTGTTCAATATTTCAACAAAAAGTGACAAGTCCATTGCTACCCCGTGTCACATTAGCCATTGTTGAGTAGTATGAGTTTGGCTTCAATCAGAGCAAGTCCATGCTCACACCGTTCCAACAGCCTCTTGTAATCTTGCATTGGGAATATTTATCCATGAAGTAAAGTACATAAGTAGGGACATATTCCCAATGCAAGGCTGTAAAAGTTGTTCGAACAGGCTTTGCTCTGACTGAAGCCGGACTCGAGTAGCATTCGCAATTCTTAAAGCACACTTTAAGCAAAGTATGACCCTGGGAAAGGAGAAAACGATTCAAGAGAGAGAAAACACCAACCACTTTATGCAATTGTTTTGAGTAATGGTAAAACCTAGGGCTTACAAGCTCGAGGACACATGTTTGAGCCTGTGAAGTGTCATTTTGCACAAAAATAAAAAGAATAAATAAAGGAAGGCTAGGTCATCAGTATATTTTACCATGACCCCAATGCCCAAATTTATATGATTATTAATAGAGATGATCATTTTTGCTTGGGTCCATATTGCCTAGCTTGATCCATTCTGGAAATTTAAGATAGGGTTGGCAATAATTTACACAACATGTGAACACAAATCAAACATGGCATGAAGTTAGTGTGGTTGGGTTATTACCTTAATAGTATTGGTATCAAAATTGTGTTAAACTATTTAATAAGATTAATAAATGTATCAATTTCGGGTTGACCCACTTTAACTCGAAAATGACTTGTTTATGATCCAAAATTTTTAGTATTAGATCATATATGTATGCATTTTAATTTTGTTGGAAAATAGTAAAGAAGGCAGAATGAAACTTATCGGTAATCGCTTTTTAAATCGGGAACTTGTAGTAGCGTAGTGTTGCAGAACAAGGAAACCAAGAATTTGCAGAGAGAATGAGGGTTGATTCATGCCACTTGGTCACTCTCCTTAAAACCGCATTTGCCTCTACGATGCAACCGAGTAATCGCAAATCGGTCGCCAAGATAAAACAATCCACAGGCCACTGGTAGGCGTGCACTCGCTTACCAGACCTCCGCGAACCACAAAGAATGATGCTCAGATTAATAGAGAAGACAGGGAAGAGAAGACTGTCGAATGTATTCTGGTCTGTAAGACTGGGTCAACCAACACTCCTTTTATAGTGTTCTTAGTCACCCAAATGGACACAAAAGTGTCATTTCAGACAAATGTCTCTTCAGAATAGTGCACCAGTTCGAAGAGACATAGAGGGGAAGAGACACCAACTAGAAAAGAAAATGATTTAAAAAATAAATTTGAACTTAAAAATCAAATGTTAAATCTGGTTAAAAACAAATCCAATTCGTTGTAGCGCGCGTACACGTACACGCACCCCGACCTGACCCGACTCAGCTCGACGTGTACGCGTGAAAAGCATCATTAACCCCCTTACACGCATGAGAATATCTATAGTGCTTTCCTCCTATGTGTCCCTACCCATAGAGAAAGCAAAACTATAGATATACTCCACCTCAACTCTTTTCCCAAGCAATGTGGGACAAGAAGTCTTTCAATGCACTCAAGAAAGGAAAGAGGAAAAGACAAAACTCAAAATACAAGGCAGGGAGGAGATAGATTCTTAAAATTTTGAATCCCCCTCAAACAGATTTTAATTTAGAGATATTATTTATATTATATTTAAATAAAATACTATTATGGTAGGTAAGGATGACATTGAATGGTTTTCATGAATTTGATTAGGTAATGGATGATTGGATGCTTATTTTACTATTTACATTTATTTATTGTTTAATTTAAATAGGTTAATCATGTTGATTCTTTGTTAATTCAGGTTACCCAGGTTGTATCATGTTATTTGTGGAATAAATGGGTTGTATATTCTATATTTATATATTAAAATGACGCTTGCCATGTTGGTAGGCTCTCTTTTCAAGAACTATTTATCTATCTTCTCATTTTTTGCATTTTTTATTTTTTAGCTATAACAATATAAAGGATAATCATTGTCAAATTTGATTAGAGAGATATTATATTACTAGAGAGAGAAATACATTTGGAACCACATTTAAGATAAAGTGTGAATGGGAGAGA